AGAATATGATATCTAGTTCACAGCTGTGGTTTCTTACAACACAGAGACATCGATATTTCTTATCGATTTTTAGTGCTAGAAATATAACTTCTGGTTAACCCAGTGTTTATATCTCCGTCTGTTGTTAATTTAGACCATCTTTCTGACTGCAGACATCTTCGTGTAGTGATGGGAACATAAAGGATGGACAGAACAGTAATCTGTGTAGATATATATCGGCTATATATATATATATGTAAATGGAATTAAGGCGAAATATATAGAGTACGTTAGTCCCTTATGTGATATACCTACAGCTAAATGACGTAGTTTGAAAGTTTCGCTCTTCTGTGTCTTATAAATTTGTATAAAATGGTGTCATTCACGTTTGTGTCTTTTGTACAATTCTCTCTATTTATAGTTATTGCAAAGAATGCAACAGAAGACATACACTCCGTGAATACGTTAAGTAAAATTAACAGCGAAGTCAGGACTTTGTGAGTCGTCAGCAATGCTAAAAGGCTTGAAGCAAATTGTTGAAACCGATGAGGCGACCATGGAAAAATTGAACACATTTCCATCGACACCCATACACCACTGTTATCATCTGTCTGGTGACCTTGGTGTTGAACCAGTAGTACATGTACAACCACTTAAGTGTTATGCTTAAAGGTAAACGACGGAATCCGCTGATAAAGGACTACTTGAAAAGGCCACCGTTTGTTATATGTCTGTAAATGGGCATTATGTTAAGTAGGATGTAAAGATAACATTACTACATCGACAACATGATTAAACATATATAACTGCATACTTAAAAATTTCGCGGTTTTAATAAAAATCAGAAAGTAATTAAGAAGTATTTTTCATGAGTCGTGCGATGGCTTAATGTTAAATCTATTACTTCAGTTATCATGGTTTTTTTCTTATTCATATCCTCGTGAAACTTTTAAAATTTTAAAATTAATATACCACGAAAATAGAGTCCATCGAAAATAATATCCTTTTTTTTCACTGTAAAGACGAATCCAAAACGTACATAAAACAAATGTGACCCATACATTGCATGATTACAAACGAACAAAACAAAATGATTATAGACATGCACGAAAGATATACATATTGATAATATCTAACAGCAATAAATCAAACAGAGCTACATCAGAAATTAGAAATATCTTCTGTGGCTAAATATATATGATATAAACAGGTGGGTGTTTTTGGCTGCATTTCGAAGATTTTGTTTTTGTTTGTTTGTTTGTTTTGAAACCAAAGTCACGATTGTTTTAGTGTTTGAAAGAAAATAAAACTGTAAAGACAGAAGGAAAACATGAAGAGAAAAAATGCAAAACAAGTTCATGATAAAGGAGTTATGTTAAATGCACACAATAAAAACTCTGGTATAACTTTAACGCGTTCCTATGTCGCCGATAGATACTAAAACAAGAGGTCTATAGGGCCTGTATCGCTCACTAGATGTTTACATTTTTCCTTTTTCAGCAACACTTCAGTGGACCGAGACCTATGACATGTAGAAATAGTTTTCCATTATCCAAGGATGCTTCAGACCAAATTGGGAAAGAATCCTTTCATTCTTACAGAAAAGGGATTTTTAAGAATATGTTCTATCTTCCCTATTGGACAATGCCCCTAACGCCCCATAGGGCGGAGACCTAAAGTTTATCGAAAACAATGTGTCTTGATCACCAATACATAACATTATTATACTTGGAGTGTAATTACGAGTTGTTTGACCTCAACTGCCCATTCACATTTAATCTATATTCGTTTGCAGACTTTGTCATATCTCATAAATGAAAATGTTCTGTTAAGTCTATTCTGGTTGAATTGAAAATTTTATCAAAACATGTTACAAAGAACTTGCCAGATCCTTTAATTTCACTTTGAAATATATTGGTGGTGTCTTACTTTGACAAGATGTTTATTAACCATGCTCATGGTAAACATCCCTCAAAAATAAAGGATACAACATACAGCCATTTAACTCAATCTTTTCCTACCACGAAATCAACAGAAACAGCATTCTACCAAGATTTATAATAAGTGTAATAACCTTAATTCCTCACTGAATTTTCCATTTCTAGATGACAATATCCCTGCTTCACCATCACTTTCATCAACCCGTGGTGTTCACATGTCGAAGCTGATTCGATATTCAGTCTTGTTCTCAATATCACGATTTTCCTTTCAAAATGTCGACAATTAACAAATGAACTTACGACACCGGACTTCAACAGATATATGTGGAAGACGATAACGGGGAGATTTTACGGTTGTCACAATTATCCCGATGGGACATTCTATTTCCTTGTCTTTGTTAATCGTTAGAAGATATGCATAATGGTTTTGTTGTAGTTAACCTTGTGATGACATTGTTTAATCGACCAATATCAACTTGGTCCTATTCGCCTTGTTCTTTTTCTAGGATCTACGTCTAAATATTTCGTTTGTTCATATTCTGCCCTTTTTCCATCGAAGTTCAGTTTGAATTGAAACATGTAGGCTGATATAAACATTCACGTGCGACCAGCCATAGACCTCGTACTAGAGTACGATTTCCGTATACGGATTGCAAGTCTTTACTTGAATTGAGATCAACTGGTCCTGTCAAAAATCATTTTTAATATCCACGTTGTTTTCTCCTTTCTTTCTATCTGTATCAGTTTCCTGGTAAACGTTAATGAGATAAACGATATGTTCTGGGATGCTCTCCATTCACCCATTCTTGAAACAACTAAAAATGCTCAATAATACACAATGACAGCTTCATGCAAATGTAGAGGACACAGCGGTAATGCTCACCTAGAGGCGCGGTGTTCAAATCCCGGGCGCACGTGAAAAGGTACGGGGTCACTTTCCCGACCTAGTAGGGTTTTACCCAGGTACTCTGGTTTCCTCCAACAGGAAGACCCCTTGTGCGGTCCATTTCGGGCCAAATAGAGTAATTGATATGTATACTTCGCCAGGTATAAAGGTATAAGTATGAAAGCTAACCTGAAATGGACTCTGATCCCTCTAATAGTGTGTTTCTGTGTATGTTTTCATGAAACATAGTGTTCAAATGGAGATACAGCCAAATGTTCTATTTCCTTTGAAAAGTTAAATTAATTTTGTTGACATGAAAACATCTACATCTTGTCTTTTAACGGAGAAATTCTAAATCACCATAAGAGTACATTCTTCTCAAGTCACATATATTCCATTTAGTATAAAACATTGTAGATATCACTGACAGAACCAAACAAAGTGCAGAAACAGTCTTTATTAACATGCGTATCCAACTGTCAAAAAAGATTTTAAGAAAGGCGTAAACAGCAATAAAGTATACCATTACAAAATACGTCATACTCAACAATATGGGTGAAAATCACATTTGTCAAGAAATAATTTGTTTATTCTAAATGTACCAAATGAACTGTACTTTTTTCAAAATTATCAGATAAATTATATAATATACCAAAATCTCGTTACCGAACAAAATGAAATATATTTAAAATAAAATAAACGATAAATATAAATGTTATAAAAAGAGCTTTGGGGCAAAAAAACGATCATACAAAATATTATCTTAAACTCGAAATCACATGGTAGTCGACACAGCTCCATGTAGATAGATAACGATCTATACTGGTTACTGGTCTTAGTATCGCTCTATCTACACAGAAAATTTATTTTTAAAGATGGTTTATTTTTAACAATTTTGAAAGTCATCGACATAAAATGTTTAAGGCATCGCCACATATTTATGATGAAAGATCTAGTTTTGGTTATGAAAATTAACAAGAATCTTGAATCGGGAAAACAATTCTTTATTTTAACGAGGTGCATTATTTGCTAAATCTATATATAGTTAAATATTGTAACAAATTGTATCATATTTTACTTTCAATTTCCTCGGTACAATTGACGAATTGTTTCGAACGTCGATGCTTTCGTCCAGTGGATGTAAAGGCCGACAACTCTAAGTACAAAAGAGTTCATGCTGGTTGATACAAAAGTTGATTACCTCCCCTTCATACATCAACAAAAAAGTCGACACCAGCAGGTTTTGATACTAATTGATACAATATTCTTTAAAAAATGTCGATTTGACAGATATGAGAGCTTTGAACGATTTTGCTCTAAATGACTAAATCAGCCATATTTACTTTAAGGTTACTCAGATCTCCTTGATTGACAGATAATAAGGGAACTTGTTCCGATAGACAAATATAAAATTTGAAGAAAAAGTATTTTGAAAAGTTAAAAAAAATCCAAACAGCAACGTGTAGAATACACTATCTACATTACCTCATTTTAAACTAGTAAATTGAAAGAGGAAGCGCTTGATATCATTACACAAGATGTAATTAATATTTCATGGCAATTAATAAAAAATATAATACAAAAATAATAAACATAAATAATGTAACAGAAAAGTGAAATTTAACTTAAATGACCTTTGTAAAAGACAACAATACAAAAAAAAGCAATAAAGACAAATAATTAGTATTTACTTTCACAAAATGTACATTTTCATAAAACTTGCACAACTACTGAGACGCAAACCTGTAGTTCTTTTTATATGTGTCAAATAATGTCTCTGGCCACTATTTAGTGTTAAGATAGACTGAACAAATGACCTTAGTCCAACTTCTCTCCGCCATGCAACATTGTTTGATATTATTTCAGTAAATTGTATAGAAATTTAAGACAAAAAAAAAAACCAATATTTTCCTCACAAGATAGAATTTAACAAAAATGGTGGAAGATTTTTTCTGGGTCACCGAATCATTCCTTCATACCCGCTTGCTCTACACAACATGTGTCGTTAGAGCTAAAATGTCTCCGGTTTGCCGACAGCCAAGTCAACTACCTTCAGCATCTATCCAAACTTCCGTTTTCTGTAGGTTCGGTTGGATTGCGTTGTTTTGAATAACTAGATCTGCTACTGTATCCCACACCTTGAAAAATGTCTACACATCCACCAATGGAGTCACCGCTGATTGCCAATCATTTTATTATCTAACGAAATACCTCTTCATAACCACCGATTCGGCGTTAACTGTCTGCATTAAAGAAAAGAGAAAGATTATTCAAACAAGTAGAATTTAGTTTTTTTGAGAAAGAGTTTACCGTTGACGAGATATTGAATTATGACTCCTAGCTAATGACAGGAAATATCTGCGAAACAGCTTAAATATGAAATGTGAGCAAAAAGATATCAAAGGATTAACTATAATCCTGTCCTGTGTATCTACTATATAAGATATCAAAGGATTAACTATAATCCTGTCCTGTGTATCTACTATATAAGATATCAAAGGATTAACTATAATCCTGTCCTGTGTATCTACTATATAAGATATCAAAGGATTAACTATAATGCTGTCCTGTGTATCTACTATATAAGATATCAAAGGATTAACTATAATCCTGTCCTGTGTATCTACTATATAAGATATCAAAGGATTAACTATAATCCTGTCCTGTGTATCTACTATATAAGATATCAAAGGATTAACTATAATCCTGTCCTGTGTATCTACTGTATATTACATTCCCTATATGATGTATGACCTTGACCTACCATAATCATTTCCTCCTTGCCGTTGGCCCCAATAGTGACTTCCCTGCTGACTTTCGTTTCCTTGGCCTTGGACTTGTCCCTCGGCTTCGAATTAGTTACCAATCTACCGCACTCAAATGTGGTTATGGCCTGTAGAGTAGGAGGTATGGTGTCGTGACGTTGGGATATACAGTGCATGAATAAGTAAGCATTCTCTTAGTTTAATTTCAGTTCATCAAGATATTACAATGCTTTATAACACTGCGTTTGATCAATGTCTTTGTACCCGAGAGAAATATTCAATCCGTTTCTGTATATATTGCGGATGGATATTGGAAGCAATGCCAAACAAGTCAGGAACTTGGTACATTGCGTAAACAAGAACTTCGTTAAGGTATTGTTATAAGTAACACGTGTATAACGAAGTATCTTTTAGGACTTTCTGAGCTGACCTTTGCACTAACAAAACTGAAGAGATATCATATCACAGATTATGTATCGCTAAGCTGAATGGTTAACAAAATCAAGAAATTTATGCTACGAGTAGAAAAAATAGGATATTTTAAAATGTTTTCATTAAACGTTTCTATAGATATTATAGAAAAGAAATCTGAAACTGCGCTGAAAATTTATCTTCTGAAATTATGAAGTGAAACATAGCTGTCATTCGTTTTCAACAAACAACATATTTCAGCGTACCGTCACGGCGTTGTCGACTGGGTCCGTATCCTCAGACTCTATATTAAGTTTAAAGAGCTTGTTAGTCGTTTTCTTTGGTCCGGTATTGACAATGCGGATCTGCTCCCCATCCACTGAAATATCTATAGTAGTACCAGAGGATCCAGCTGCTGCAGCGACCTTCCTTAGCATGAAGTTCACACCTGAAATGAACTTAAAACTACAGTATTTTCTATTTCTCAATGCGATGGTGAAGTTGAACGTGTTTGATGCTCGTTGTAAACTTTGTTCTCGTTTGAGAACATGACATTACTTATTTGGATTGACCTAGATTTACATGGCGAGTGTCATTGATGAAGCTGAAGACGTTCACCCTTTCGGAACACCTGGTCTTATTCTGTTGTATTATTTTTTTTAAAGTTCCCGTGTATTTTTTGTCCATGCATTAACCTCGTGGAAATTGTTTTAGAATTCCATTACGTCTGTAGTGTCTTTGTTATTGTACTTGAAACACAACGATCAATATGGGTACCAACTACTGATCCACAATATAACATACTGATCTAGCGCAAATGTATATTTCGATGTTTAGACCTCAATATAGATATATATATATAAGTATGAAGATCAGAATAGTGAATCCTATCAGATATATATCTATTAGTAACTGAGGTTTATAGATTAAATAGACTACTGTAATTATGCATGGCAATAATATTGGAGTTAAGTTTCTGGATATGAAAAATAATCATCTGTAATCAACCTACATTCCTTTCAAGTGTAATTAGTCAATAATCCAATGAGTTCATACATCACTTCAGTTAAAACTTTAGATTGTGTTTTACATTGAACAAAATGTGTAACGGATCTGTTTATTACATGAATCTTCACAAGATTTCGAATTACAACGTACTCAATATAAAATACAAGTTTTACAATAGACCAAAGTGTTTATATATCACAAGGTGCTGAAGATAAATTGCAAGGCTTTAGTGTCGTAAAGGATCATAACAATATTATGTATGTCTTCAGAGTTGAGTTGCTGTACAGTGTACTTGAAAACGACATTCTCATACACACCTAAACATTTCAAAGTACATGTTTCACTTCGGTAAATGGGCAAACATACATACAGTCTTCATACGACATTTCTCGAATAAAGAATTTGATACGTCTGGCGAAAATTTGTCAAAATAATTTTTTTCAAGATCTGTGAAAAACTGCCAATGTTGAATGTGGTATGGTAATTTGAGTAGAATCTGAGCATCACCGAATAGATGTTGGGATTTGTACGGACGAAGGGAGCGTTTTAAGCTGCTGTCCATTATCTTACTATTTAATTTTAGTAGATTTGATGATAATTTGACACGTGTGAGAATAGGATTATATAACAACTCTGTACGTCCTATTTTCTGACCTAGTAATGGTTAGAATGTGTGCAGGTCACAGCGAGAGTATTTTGAAATATTTACGTCTGTGGGTCAATATATAGGACGTTGGTTTATTTCCCTCCGTCAATGGGTACACAATCGTAAAAGGCCGAAAACTGAATCAAACGAAAAGATTTACGATATTTATATTCATAGATAATGGTGAAACGATCCACTACTCAGGAATAAGTATCTTAATTATGTTCCGTGGATATTTAGAGTATATTGATGCTCATGCAGTAACCGACAACTGGCTGTGCTCTGATAAAGATATAGTTAATGTTAACATACCTAACAATTTAAGGTACTCATCCTGTCCCTCGGTCTTCGTCAGTTTCCATTTGCCAACAAATGTTCTTTTAATCGCTTCTAAATCTGCCGATGTATCAGAGAGGCTCGCCATCTTAGGGACTTGATGCACCTGAGATCGACTGTATTTTGCTCAGGTGTTTCTACTTCTATCTATTTATAGTGTTCAGGTGAGTATTCATGCGTAACCTAGCGACTGATGTCCAGTTGATGTGTGGGAAATCTATCGAAGTATTACGATTCGCCGATAAATATATCTAAACCATTCATTTACCCCCCTCCCCCCATTTGATATTATTGTTTACTGTAATCAGTGATCAATATGGGTACCAACTACTGAACCACAATATAACATACAGATCTAGCGCAAATGGATATTTCGATGTTCAGACCTCAATATAGATATATATATAAGTATGAAGATCAAAATAGTGAATCCTATAAGATATATATCTGTTAGTAACTGAGGTTTATATTGGAGTTAAGTTTCTGGGTATGAAAAATAATCATCTGTAATCAACCTACATTCCTTTCAAGTGTAATTAGTCAATAATCCAATGAGTTCATACATCACTTCAGTTAAAACTTTAGATGGTGTTTTACATTGAACAAAATGTGTAACGGATCTGTTTACTACATGAATCTTCACAAGATTTCGAATTACACTGCATTCAATATAAAATACAAGTTTTACAATAGACCAAAGTGTTTACATATATGTATCACAAGGTGCTGAAGATAAATTACAAGGCTTTAGTGTCGTAAAGGATCATAACAATATTATGTATGTCTTCAGAGTTGAGTTGCTGTACAGTGTACTTGAAAACGACATTCTCATACACACCTAAACATTTTAAAGCATGTTTCACTTCGGTAAATGGGCAAACATACATACAGTCTTCATACGACATTTCCCGAGTAAAGAATTTGATAAAGCTGGCGAAAATTTGTCACAATAAAGATTTTCAAGGTCTGAAAAACTGCCAATGTTAAATGTGGTATGGAAATTTGAGTAGAATCTGTGCATCACCGAATATATGTTGGGATTTGTACGGACGAAGGGGCGTTTTAAGCTGCTGTCCATTATCTTATTATCTAATCTTAACAGATATGGTGATAATTCGTCACTTGATACAATAATACTATATTACACCTCTGTACGTCCTATTTTCTGACCTAGTAATGGTTAGAATGTTTGCAGGTCACAGCGAGAGTATTTTGAAATACACAGCGTTGGACCGTTAGAGAGTTTACGTCTGTGGGTCAATATATAGGACGTTGGTTTATTTCCCTCCGTCAATGGGTACACAATCGTAAAAGGCCGAAAACTGAATCAAATGAAAAGATTTACGATATTTATATTCATAGATAATGGTTAAACAATCCACTACTCAGGAATAAGTATCTTAATTATGTTCCATGGGTTTTTAGAGTATATTGATGTTCATGCAGTAACCGACAACTGGCTGTGCTCTGATAAAGATATAGTTAATGTTAACATACCTAACAATTTAAGGTACTCATCCTGTCCCTCGGTCTTCGCCAGTTTCCATTTGCCAACAAACGTCCTTTTAATCGCTTCTAAATCTGCCGATGTGTCAGAGAGGCTCGCCATCTTAGGGACTTGATGCACCTGAGATCGACTGTGTTTTGCTCAGGTGTTAATACTTCTATATATTCATAGTGTTTAGGTGAGTATTCATGTGTGACCTACTGACTGATGTCCAGTTGATGTGTGGGAAATGTATCGAAGCATGACGATTTGACGATTAAATATATCTAAACCATCCATTTATCCCTCCCCCATTTGATATTATTGCTTACTGAAATCAGAAACAAACAACAAAGAAAACAATGTCTGTATACCATGAATCGATTACTGGTTTGTACAGGTTTTTCCTTTTACATACTACTGGATATTAGGAGGTCAATAAATAGGACAATGGAATCAGCACTCATAAAGAACAATAACAGGACAATGTGTAACGATTTTCACCAGTATATGTGACTGTTTTAATTACTACTGCTTATAAACAAAAACCTTCAAAGTCTAACCAAATGTTTAAATGTTTTCTAACCAGTTTTAAATGTAGAAGAAACCAGCGCCGTTGGCAATATGTTGGTATGAGTTTTTACATTATGAGTAACGAACTACACACACATACATATATATATATTTTAAACCAGACCACATTACAATGAATGATATCCCTTTAAAACACTAACGTCAACTACGTCAGGTATAGGTTGTCATTATTTCCATTGTGACGTAATACATTATCAATTAATGGCGTCATATGCGTTGTGTATGTAACGTTACCAAAGAAAGAGATATGGAATGAGACTAGTACCATTCAGATCTGGTATTAGTTTTTTTACGAATTTATACGATTTGGAAGTATCTATGTTATATAATAAACAAAACCTTACCTTCGCTTCACAGATTGAAAATTAATATTTTATATGCTTCATCCTTAAGTCTGTGAATTTTCTCGATTCAATAATCGTTGCAGGCAGGCACTGGCTTTGCTATCGGGATAAATACCAGCATAACAATTTGTCAGTGAACGAGTTGAATGGACAGTCACAAAGATTTTCATTATCGCAAAGATATTTTCTAAGGGTGCAAAGGAGTGTGACGGTCCAATTATAATGAGACTAAAATACGTTGCAACGGAAAACAGTCCACGAAATAATTTGAGAAAATAGCTTTATTCACAAAATCCACATATAGACAATGCTATCCATCAGTTGATAAACTATGTGTTAGTGTCCGTTACGTCAGGATACGGTGTAACCAAGATGTTACATTGTTTCCCTCTACCAAGAATTACTAGACCTTACTCACCCCCACCCCCACCTCCCCTCTCCCTCCAGTACAAGGCAGTACAAACTTATTCAATAATACGTAAAGTGGTCCGTTTTCTATAGACACAAAAATTGTCTACAAAAGTGTACAAACATTCGTGTGATTTATTCTTGTTACAGAATAACAGGCATCATGTTCATGGCTTACTTTAAATTTAAACATTTTCGTGGGACTCAAATTTCATGGTTATACAAAGTTGTGCATTTTCGCTGGCACTTGATTTCGTAGATAAATCTTGATCACAAAATCCACTAGTACAGTGAAACCTCACCTAACGACCACCTCAAAATTACGACCACCCCGCTATTACGGGCACTTTTTTTCAGTCCCGTTTTTTTCCACTATATATCTTTGTATTGGTCGCTTCAGTATTACGACCACCCCGCTATTCCGTATTACGACCACTTCTTACAGTCACAACGACCACTTATTAACGATAATTGACCTCACAATTACGACCACGGTCTGACCAGTGATTAAAGTTTACCTGGTAGGCAGTGAACCGCGAACATGTGTGTCGTTCACGACCATTGTTTTCGTCACGGGTTACCGACTCTGTCACCAGGTGGCGTTAAACGAAGTAAACATCATTATCGGATTAACTTGGCCTACCCGTCCGAAACCGCGTGCTAGACACGTTTTAATAGCGATCTGTTGTTTGTTAATTAAATATTGACAGATCGGTAGGTATGCTGTTAAACACCTTAGAAGCCCCGCATACCCAAAAGTGAATTATGTAGTCGTTTCGGCCGATATCCCTTGGCCTGCACGCGCACACGTTGTCGAGGGTTTTTAACTGTTTTTGTAGCAATGTTACACTCTCGATATCGTTTGAACAATAAAAAACGTGTATGTGTTCAATTTTTTACGACACATTTTCTCTGTCACAAAACTCCGATGAACTTTATCAAGCAATGACGAAACCACGGAAACGAAACGAGCTATCGTGATCGGTAAAAAGGACGTATGAAAGAGGAGGCTGTCCAGATCCGTAGCTCTTCGCAATATTGTGCACTGGACTCTTTTTTTTAAGTAAAAAGAAAAATGTGTTGTACTGAGTGATACACTGATAAAGATAATGTGTTTGCGAATTTATGTTAAAAATGAAGCGTTGAAAGACTTTATAGTGACTTCATTAAAGTTGTTACAATTACTGAGTAAATGTGTTCGTAAATTTATGTGAAATAGTTGCAAAATTAACGTCAAATTCCAATTAAACTTAAAATGGATTGTTTGTTTCCTTTCAATGTTTACAATGTATATTATGATATCAACTAAGGAATATATACATAATTATTCTTCTGTCAATTCAGCAATTTTGTCTTTTTTACATGCATTTCATGAAATTCAACATTTTAGTTTATTATTATTAGTTATTATTGATGAATAATATACATGTACATTACTTAATGATATATATACTCTTTATTTTAAACAGAGTTACGGTTCTTTGTGGTCAATCTGATCCACCTCACTATTAAGACCACCTCGCTATTAAGACCACTTTTGTCCAGTCCCCAAAGTGGTCTTAATAGGGAGGTTTCACTGTACTATAATCTATGTCTATTTTTACCTGTTGATTGTTTCTTGGACGTTTAAGCTCGTAGATTAAGAGTAACGTCGAATTCATCTAAAAGAAAATCACCACAAAAATTGATAATTTTACAGTAATTTGATAAAAGATATTTTCTCAAATTAAATCCTGTCCCAGTGTTAGCTACATAGGACAAAATAATAACAGATCATATGACTTACCAGAATGTCTCTTGTTGCATGTAATATTCATTTTACAAATGAAATTGTTTTATACACAAATTCGAACAAAATCATGAAACAGTTTCCGTAACACGAAAATAAACAATACAGAACAGGAAGTAAACACAAAAACAAAACCATGTAGGGACAGATGATAAAAAAATCACAAAGCATAGTCCCTAAGAATTGAATTAAATGAATTATCGTGTTCTTTTATAGGACCTACAGATACACGTTAATACACATTCACGAAATTCGGCTTAACATAAAACAAAATTATTGTAAATCTGTAAAAAATATAATAAAAATGAAATTCAAAATGGCGAAATGAATTTTTTTAGTGGATGAAAGAGGTATATTGCACTTTCTATAATCCTGCGAATAGTGCCCCTTTTCAATTTGTAGTGACGGAGAGCATCTCTTTAGGCATGATTGATTATCTTTCTTAGTACCATTTCTCGCCGACAGGTTGCGCTCGGAGTTACTTTTATTGTTTCCGTAATGTTTCCCAGAATGATGTGCATATAAAGACCGGTCAAAATTTGACTGTTATCAAGGCATGGTGTTGGCCTAGTATCCGCTGTCGTTGCATATCATGAAAGCCCAAATTGTAGGCAGCAAATTATTACTGTTTTTCGAAGTACCTCTTCATCTCCACTTCTCCAGCATTTACGGTCTGTTAACAGAGAAAACATCATCAGTATCAAACCAGGAAAATAGATAGATAAAGACTGGACATTCATTTATTTATCGTGGTCCTGCGCCAACCAAAAGAACATTTAAAGCTGCTCACAAAATACACGCCAATTGTACTAAAACAGAAATCGTTTCAGTGTGTTGTTCGAATTTAAACGTAGCCATTCAAAGTAATCTATTCATTATATTTCGAAAAGTATAATTCTAATTTACTTTCCGGTATACATGTGCTTGTTTTAATTTGAACTTTTAACCTTTCAAAATGACCTTGACCTACCATAATCAATTCTTGCTTGCCGTCTTCCCTTGTAATGACTTCTCTGGTAACAGTGGTGTCCTTGGCCTTAGACTTGCCCCTCGGTTTCGATGTGGTTACGATTTTGCCATCCGTAAATGTGACTACAGCCTGAAGAATGTCAATACAAGGTTACCTTCGTACAAATTGCAGAAAAAATGTCTCCCTCCTCAGGTACGAGTAGGGCTATGTACTTGTCAGCATAAACAAGTGAACAGATTTAAGATATTTTATTGTACATGTATATAGACAGGATCTTTAATCATTTTTTATTTCATACGTAGGCCGAGAGTTATACTTTATACTTCTGGGCTATATTGTGACGTAAGCTGAGAGTTATACTTTATACTTGTGGGTTATATTGTGACGTAAGCTGAGAGTTATACTTTATACTTGTGGGCTATATTGTGACGTAAGCTGAGAGTTATACTTTATACTTGTGGGCTACATTGTGACGTAAGCTGAGAGTTATACTTTATATTTGTGGGCTATATTGTGACGTAAGCTGAGAGTTATACTTTATACTTGTGTACTATATTGTGACGTAAGCTGAGAGTTATACTTGTGAGACGTATTGTGACGTAAGTTGAAAGTTATACTTTATACTTGTGTACTATATTGTGACGTAAGCTGAGTTATACTTGTGAGACGTATTGTGACGTAAGCTGAGAGATATACTTTATACTTGTGTACTATATTGTGACGTAAGCTGAGAGCTATACTTGTGAGACGTATTGTGAAGTAAGCTGTGAGCTATACTTTATACTTGTGTACTATATTGTGACGTAAGCTGAGAGCTATACTTGTGAGCCATAATGTGAAGTATGCTGAGAGTTATACTTTATACGTGTAGACTATATTTTGACGTATTCTGAAAGTTATACTTGTGTACTATATTGTGACGTAAGCTGAGAGTTATATTTGCGAGACGTATTGTGACGTAAGCTGACGTATATATAATAAAAAACGTACCGTCATAGCGTTGCCTACAGGATCATCGTCTTCTAACTCTGTATTTAAGAGGAAGGCGTGGTTTGAAGTCTTGGGTCCTTTTGTAATAAAACGGACTTTGTCTCCCTCCACCGATATCTCTAAAGTACAACCAGCTGCCATGGCAACTTTCCGAAATAGGAAGTTTAAACCTAGAATAAATTGATATTGTAAGTAAAGTGGAATTCTATGGAGACAGATTATCTGAACTATCGTATAAAAATCTTCGTAAACTTTATCATGATGTACATCGCTGTAGTTTTTATTATGTAATCATATGGCATCAAATAATTCTATTTGTTCATGTACAGTATACAATATTACAATTCTATATTGTCTCATAAGCCAGTTTTGGCTGGATATCGGTATCTGTGTGTCTTTACCCACATTATATCAATTAATTATGGTAAAATATCTTAGTTTTAACTTGGACCTGTTCCGCGTACATATTTATTTTAATGTATGTTTTTAAGACAGTGTTTTTAATAATGGATATACACTGTCAAAGTGCTGAAGTAAAACAAACTAAACAAATTAACTAGTATAAAATTCTAATTATCAAATATAAATCATTGAAATTACGCCATATTTACACTTGAGTATGTACAGATATTTAAGTCAACACAGTGTACAGAGACCCGATAACACTGGTCCCATGACGTCACACCAGCGTAAAATGAGGCTTCTGAATCTACACCTATGTACATATATCTTAAAAAAGGCACCGATTCCTAAACACTTATTTTTAAAAAAAAATATAGTGTCGGAATCCTGGATAAATTTAGAAACTAACCTATACGGGAAAAATATTCACAAAGTTTGGGAAATATTTGTTATCTAACTTTGAATTCGGTGATATAGCGAATTTCTAGTGGAAATCCTTCTTTATTCATAGTAAATAAACTTCTGAACTTTAACTCAAAAAAGGCACCGATTCCTCACAACTTATTTTTAATTTTCAAAGATCATATTAAAGCTTATAAAATTATCATCCAAACATATACGGGAAAAATACTGTCATTTGAACGAAAAAATGCTTTATATAATCTATAGTAACAGTACAGGTGAAAAATCGACTCAGGCTGGCGCATGCGCAGCACGCTACAGGAAAGATTGCTGGTAATGAGTTAAATTTTTATGGTTTTACATCTTGCAATATCGATATGTAACACTTCAATAAAATAAATTGAATTGTATTCTTTGAATCCTTTAGCCAGGAAGGATAACAAAAACGTTAGTACAATGATGCAATGTACTTAACAGAATGTAAGAAGTCTCCATTGTAAATTTCCGAGCCATCCAACAGTATTGTTGTCTTTTCGAGTTCACCCTTACACCAAAACAAGACTTTATAAGGACTTTGAAGTAGTCAAACCAGTGTTTCCGTGATAGTGAACACAAACTCATCGTAGCCAAAAAAAAAAAAAAAAATAATAATAAAATATGCTACTCCACTATAAATAGGATGATGAAATTATATGTTATAAAAACAAAGTAATAATTGGTAAAGAAATATAAAATTACTGGAAAATGGGATTAAATCTACTATTTTATCAATAAAAATGATTAATAGCCATTTCAGTTTCATTTAATTGCATTAACTTTCAGTTCCATCAGGGTCCGTCAGTAGAATATATATACACAAACATGCGGTGTAGTGTATACTCAAGGGATAAAGAAAGTTCCGTCAACCGTGTCGTTGTTTAATGCTACCAGAAATTAATCAAAACATCGGAAAATGATGTATCTCCATGAAGACTACCTATTGTTGTGACGAGCAGTGTAACTCAATGTCACAACACTGCTGTCGACGAGATTTTCCCGTTTCGTGCTTTCCCCAGTTGACATCGTCACGCAATACAATGATGCAACATTCGATACAGGACCACGTGCACTGAAGCATAGAGAGTTGCTTGACCGATTTTCATTGTCAGAACAATGCGTTCGCAAAATATTGCAAATAATGTCCCTGTGCATTTCTTTATCCCTGAAGTATATATGTGAATATAGTTAGTTATCTAAAATGTGGTAAATAAAATATTAATTTTAATATTACAAAATTATCAGTAATAATACATAAAAATAAAAACAAAAATTCAGACATTCAAACATTTCACAAAATATATGACATAAGTTTCCTCATACTTGATAAGGTTTTAGAGAATAAAATTATTTAAAGACTTGAATATTGTTTAAACATATCCTTAAATGTTTATATGTCAAAAGAAGTATCATAAACATATACTTTTTAAAATGCAAGTAATACCAGTTGTTGAGTATCAACAGATGAAGTTTTACAGAAAAATTCATCTGTTGGAACTGATATCAATATAGAGGGAAAAAAATATAACCACTGTCAAAACAAACAAACTGCCCTGTAGGGCATTTTAAAATGTTGGTAACCAAAGATACACCTTTTTTAAACTGCAAAACTGGTTTTGCCGTAAATTGCTTCAAAGTCGTATCTTATTTGTTGGTATAGAAATTCACATCATAATGTTGTTTATTATAGTAGGGACGTCCATGACTATGTCAATTTGGTATTAAAAAAATATCGTCCTATTTTTTGACATCTGGTAAACATGGATTATATAAACGAATTATATATATTCACTGCACTATGAACACACATTAAGTACTCGTGGTGACACGCTGTGCGTCATCGTAAGGACATATTTAATACACGTAGATATGGCGTTATGTCAGATCTATTGATCTCTGTAAATTAGATGACACAGCATTCGGGCTGCACTGGATGTTCACTAATCAATTACATATCATTATTTTTATCTTTAATACAAAACATCAAGTTGTAGCTGACAATTATTACATTATACAATATTTCAAGCTAAGCTCAAGGGAAGTAATTCATCAGGAAGTGGTCTAAGCGTACCCTACCGGTAACAGATGTCGCTGCGGTGAACACATACAGTTGTAAACAGAAAGTTGATTGTCCAGGTTTACAGGGATAACAACGTACCTATTAATTTCAGATATTCGTCTAGTTTTTCATTTTTCGTGAGCGTCCATGTGCCACCAAACTTGTCTTTGATTGCCAGTAAATCGGCCGATACGTCTGAGGCGTTCGCCATCTTGTGCGTATACCTGTAAACAGACTCTGTGGGGCCCCAACGGGGTAATAACATTTATTAACTGTACAGTGGTCGATAAGTCTGCGAATGTATTTGCATTATTACTTACATGTTTACATTGTATATAAATTTATTTGACGATTCGGAAATATGAAATGTGTAACGTTACTCAATAATTTCAATAAGTTCCCTTTTTAACAGTAGCGTCACGTTTTTTCCCCTTCTACATAGCGAACTCCTTGGTAACAGCCGGTTTACAGGCATCACTAGCAACTGTTACATGAAGCTTCCATAAGAGATATCTTGTTGTAAAAACAATGTGACAGATAATTATATGAACAATATAAAATAATCAATGTAGGTTTAGACATTACAGAAAACAAGTAAAATTAACGTAATATGAAATTATCATATGCAACTATTGAGGACATACCGCGTCGTGCATGCGCAGATTTCTCGCTCCATGCGAGATAGTTTTTACTATAGTTTATATAACGGCATTTCAGAAAAAATATTGATACATCGTGTTTTAGATAAAAATTCTAAAGTATATGCCTCTAATCAGTAGATTTATCATTTCTTCGTTACAAATATATTATTTTTTGAATTTTCAGAAGAAAATTTGTTGTGTCATTTTTTAGTTGAAACTTACACATGGATCTCCATCATAGTCCTATCAAAATTTTAACTAAACGATTATTTTGACAACTTCAACAATGTGAAACAAAAGCAACATTGTGAAAAAATATCCAAATGTGTGCGTCTGACAATCAAGTATAGTAACTTTCCAACACATTGATATAACTTTGACAAACTTACATTAAAAATGAGTTGTGTCAATTTCTAGGTGAAAATGGCACATAATTTCGTTTCACGGAAATTTTCTTAGTCCCAATGCTGTTACAGGTAAACACGGCATCAATGCACGTGTATCGATGAGTCATAAAGACAGATTGAAGAAGTGTACAATGTATATACTTTGTTGACATTGATACTTACATGTACAAGCATTTTGACGAGAAGAGTACGATGCAGACATGATTATATCAAAGACATTCATTCTTGATTTCGCTTTATCTGGGTTCAGAATGCTTTCATATACTTTTGGGAATTTTAAAGAGATAGAGCGAGCTGTCCATATACAATAATAGATATAAGAGGGCTATTCGATTTTCAGAAAAAGGGGTGTTCGGACGTGATTACGTACAAGTCAATAATTTCATACCGCTAGACCTGCAACTATTACTAAATGGAAGCAGTGGTCTATCCGTAGAAAATTATATTTTGATGTAACAGTCAGAAATACATTCTTGACTCGAATATATTTTAATTTCAAATATCTCTCCCTTTGTAAAACATCCACATTCCCCTTCGCCCCCCTCCCCCCTCCCTCCCTCTCTCTCTCCCCCCTCCCTCCCTCTCTCTCTCATACATAACAATGTATAAATGCAACAATGTCGTATTGTTTATACAAAATTGTAAAATTTCTATTAGGAAAGGGCTTCATATAAATTTGAAAACTTGTGCCCAATCCTTTTGTATATATTGATGCAAATAAAATATGCTGATCTCAAATTGTATAACCAGTTTCGTGACGATGACAATCAGACGAAATGAAGGTAATGGCCATATCGACAATAGTTGTAGTAATGTGCTAATAAATCTTCTCGTTCGAAATTTTTTTCATATCCCATTTTAAAAAGATACAGTCAACTGGACACACATTTGTACGAATGCCTATATAAATATGTAGGGAGATACTGAGTAACTCCATTAAAATCTTCTAAATTGACCATTTATCATGTACCATGGCTATTTAATATCCCTTACCATGAACGCAGAGTACTTATTTTTTCACGATATTGCCATCATCTGTGCACAGCTCATATTTAAGACATTTGTCTACGCCACCCAAAAATTGGCCCATGTACCACTTTGCTCGTCCTAGACATAGGTACTAGGTGTAAGCTTATTCCTGTTAAGCATAAGAAGCCTATCACCAAAATACGTTTGTCTACTCATTGTTTAAATGTAGAAACAGGAAGGTATACAAATATTCCAGTGGAACAGCGCACTTGCAAACTTTGTAATTCCGACTTTGAGGATGAATTCCATTTTGTAATTAAATGTCCTTTTTATAACAATTTGCATTGTAAATATATAAAATCATACTATAGGAGTAATCCCTCCGTTTTCAAATTAGTAGATTTACTTAAAACTACTAATGTAAAAGACTTATGTATCTTGGGAAAGTATTTGTATCATGCTCTCAATCTGTGATCTAGTCTATTGTAATATACTCAGTAAGTTTTTGTATGTAACTATAATTATAGAAACAATGTCTGTCTCTCATTCCCTCTCTATTGTATACGATACATGTTGCATATTTATGTATTAGAATCCATAAGCTGTATTCAGATCAATAAATAAAATTTATTTCATGAAATAAATACATTTGTGTTAGATGGTTACTTTATATATTCATATATATATATATGTATAATTGTCATAATTCTACAGATGTTCTTCACATTATAATGTTATGTAAGTTGGCTCTTGCATGATTTTGTTTGTTGGAATAAGATCTTGAACTCTGACTACCTGGTGACCATCTGTTACCCTCTGTAGTTTGTATCTCTTGTTATTTGGATGTGCGCACGTGTTAGCAGCGAGGGCCGTGTATTGCAACTCGCTATGCGGTTACGGTTTTAGCTTGACCAGTCAGAGGGGCTGTTCACGTGACCAGCGGCAGTAGCCGTGATGATAGGCGGCCAGGGCCTGGATTGACCAATCAGCGAGGCGTGCACCTCTTCGTGATTTTGACCGCGTCATATCTTCATCACTCCTCATAATTTTTCTGCTGCTGTGATTACGTTTAATATCTTTCGAAGTCCCACCCATACCACACTCCCATATTTTGTCTTGAGCCAGCTTATATATCCATGGTTTTTTTTTATTATTATTCAAACAGTTGTTTGTATGCCGATAATTGGCCGATCGACAGCTTTTGATTGACAGCGCGGTTTAGCCAATCAGATCGCGGGTAGTATTCGCCTCTTTGTTTACATTTCGCTACTACGACATTCTCCGACAAAGGTGATACTTTGCTGCTGGGGAGCTTGCAACACCGATTTCGCTACCGCGAGCGATTATAGGGAGGTGTTGTGTTCATACCGTTTCCCAAATCTCAGATGAAGCATGAGAAGTGCAAATCTTGGCTCCAATTGTGCGGACGGCCTAAGTATCAACTTAACGAGGAGATCCTGTGGTGGCCTTCTAAAGGAAAGCATTTTTTATTTATGTCTGCTCAAAAGTGCGTAAATTTTCACAGACTCACGTGTACAATATTGCAATGAACATCAGTATTTGTTTTTCACACAAAATTTTGCTAGCATAAGTTTTATAATCCTCTCTCATGTGCTAATAAGTCGCATGTTAATGTGTGTCTTTATAAACAAGCTTGATTTCGGACTGACCATTTTCGGATATTTATTGACTGAAGGGAAATGAAATTATCTGGACATGTTTCTGCTCTTTTACAAAGTTTTACTTTGTGAATGGTCTGTGATAAAATGAACGTTTACTGTTATGGTTAAACAGTTGAAATAAAATCTTAAAGTCTTCCAATAAGGTAGTAATATTCTTGATGAAAAAAAAACCATTAACATGATATAAATAAAAAAAACCCAAAAATTTAAGAATTTAATGCCAGTTTAGAAAGTAACCATTATATCAGTGATGTATCTTGGTGGCCATTTTATAAAGGCTTTATATGACTGTTAAAGCAAACTTGTTTTGTTTGTTTCTTTGGGATTTACCACTTCCTTCCCACTTGAAACAGAGGTGAAAGAAATTGCTGCTGCCGGGATTCAAACCCACCCGGCCCTCTGCACCCTTCTGGTCGTGGAGCCTATGCTCTACCAACTGAGCTAACCCTGCATGGCGACTGTTTTTATTTTTATTTCATTAATTCTGCTCCATAGAAAACAATCACACCACTTGAACTTTTTGTTTTTAATTATTAGCAAAAATGTAAAAAATATTTTTTTATATATGAAAATATAGGTTACTGTGACCACTTTCCAAGAAATAAAAATTTTCAAAGATGAACCATAAAAGCGACATTGACTGTTAAAATGGCAAAATTATCGATTTCACGGAAACAGTTGAGTAAAAATCTGAAAACCCAATAAGTGACCAGTGACGTCACAGTATACCAAAAGAGACTGAAATCGACTCGATTTAACATGGCGAGTATAGGGAAATGAAAGTTCGTGACTACTTAAATGGGCTGTTTTAAGTCATTCAAGGAGGAAAGGGGCTAAAAATATATATATACATAATTTTAGGTTATTAAATTCCCTAACGACCGGTATATTTCTTTATTTAATTATTGCACTGCTACCACATATAAAATTAGTTTAAAAAGTAAAAAATCCGTCTCAGAAATACTCGTCTGAAAAACGGATCGTAGTAATGTGGCGACTTACTGGGTCCTGGCAATATGCGTCAAATGAAAAAGACAGTTTTTACTCCTTCAATAACGGAAAGGGCTGTAATTCATAGATACAAATTTAGTATTTTGAATTCCCTATTGATTGGTATATATATTGAATAAATGCAGTGATTTGCCATGTTAACCTTATTTGAAAAGGAAAACCTCATAAATATTCGACTGAAAACGGGTATATCCCCAAATTTTTCCGCTGACTGGGGAAAACATGGCCACTAATTTCAACTGTATCATCGTCTCTTGTTTGGAAGGACGCTAAAGTATGACCCAGACACGAAACCGTTTGCTTTTAATTTTTTCTTCAACGACACGTTAGAAGTATAATTAAGTCCGATATCATTGGGAATGACGTTCAATGCTGACGACACTTTGTTTGTCGGGGATGGTAAGAGTAGCCTCCCTTTATGGTTATCTTTGCGTTGTCGATCGGCCAATTTGTACCCCATCATTTTGTTGTACATATAGACTGAAGTTACTGTCAGATCTATATATTATATAACTACAGTGATTGATATTATGGTTGTATTTGAAATGTTCCTGTCATTTAATAAATGACCATTTGACAACATTTCTTTTCCCTGTTGTGTTTTGTTTATAAGATATGTACAACAAATAACAAGCTGCAGTCTCTGAGCTGGGTTACCATGCTAACACAAAGAATGATAATATTTGCTAAACGCCCAGGGCAGTTGGCTTTTACACTTGGGCAGCAAACCTTTTTTAATCCGGCCCGCTCCCCATCCGTCTCTGATCAGAGATGACACGATAATGAATGGCAAATTATACACTTACTCTTAAAGGAGGTGTTACATGTGGCAATTTCCATTTCATTATTCCTACATTGTTTCAATCATTTAAGTAAACCACGAAATATCGAGCGGTACCTCTTCCTTCCCAATCCGGTCAACATATAAATTCAAATTTATAAAAAGACATTTTACCCATGGACATATTACGGAGTGTGGTCAGGGATGCTTTTCTGGTGTAAGCCTTTGTGTTTGTTCGTCGAGTCGTTAAAATCTTCTGTTTGTTGCCCCGTTCAATACAAAATATATGCTGTCTTTGTACTGACCGCCCTGACCAAAGCCAATTCGTCGGACACTGAAAAGGGAATCTCATTTTCGTAACCAAAATAATACTAATACATTAAAATGACGAATCATATCGATTACATTGATCAAACGGAATGTTATTGAAATTTTTAGTGCCACGGATTCAAAAATTACTTTCTTCGATATAAGGTGATATTTCAGCTCAAACACGCTTTTTGTTTTGTTTTTTTTTAAATCTTAAGTAAACAGAAAGTATTTGTCATAAAAGTTATAAAAATCAATTTGAAAATTGAGATTTCTACTATACTGTTTGTTTTGAAAATAATAATTAGGAACTTTTGGAGAAAAATGGTTTATAAACACAGCAACGCTAATTAACTCTAATTGATACAGCACTTCAATTCAATATATTCCTTGATATAATCATTGAACAGAAATATCAATTCATACGTTATAACTAGCACGTTTCGAGATAATCATAAGAATCAGATATCAAAATAGATACAAACATACATTTTATTGCAATTGACACAACTAGTAGAAAAACAGTCTCAAATTCCTCTATTTAACGTTTCTGATTTTACCCGACATAATTGACTCTCAAGACTTGGTCAAAAAAAGATTTAAATAAGTATCGCATTTAGTACATGGTATATTATCATATAAGGCTTAAAAAAATCATGGATTTGTTACTTGAAAATTATGAACATGGTTTGATGTTGCGACAACCAAGCAAATAGATTACAAAAGGAATGGACTTATTGGATGTTAGTTATTAATTTAAGTCATAAATCTCAATGAGAGGGCTTAGTAAGATGTGTTTTCTCTAGTTATTGTGAAGTGTAATGTTGAGAGGGCCTAGTAACTTGTGTTATGTGTAGTTATTGTGTACTGTAATGTTGGGAGAGGGCCTGATAAGTTGTGTTATCTGTAGTTATTGTGTAGTGTAATGTAGGGTGAGGTCGTAGTAAGTTGTGTTATCTGTAGTTATTGTGTATTGTAATGTCAGGAGAGGGCTTGGTAAGTTGTGCTATCTATGGTTATTGTGAAGTGTAATGTTGAGAGGGCTTTGTAAGTTGTGTTATCTCTAGTTATTGTGTAGTGTAATGTTGGGAGAGGGCTTGATAAGTTGTGTTATCTGTAGTTATTGTGTAGTGTAATGTAGGGTGAGGTCGTAGTAAGTTGTGTTATCTGTAGTTAATGTGTATTGTAATGTCAGGAGAGGGCTTGGTAAGTTGTGCTATATATGGTTATTGTGTATTGTAATGTCAGGAGAGGGCTTGGTAAGTTGTGCTATCTATGGTAATTGTGTAGTGTAATGTCAGGAGAGGGCTTGGTAAGTTGTGCTATCTATGGTTATTGTGTATTGTAATGTCAGGAGAGGGCTTGGTAAGTTGTGCTATCTATGGTTATTGTGTATTGTAATGTCAGGAGAGGGCCTGATAAGTTGTGTTAACTGTAGTTATTGTGAAGTGTAATGTAGGGTGAGGTCGTAGTAAGTTGTGTTATCTGTAGTTATTGTGTATTGTAATGTCAGGAGAGGGCTTGGTATGTTGTGCTATCTATGGTTATTGTGTATTGTAATGTAGGGTGAGGTCGTAGTAAGTTGTGTTATCTGTAGTTATTGCGTATTGTAATGTCAGGAGAGGGCTTGGTAAGTTGTGCTATCTATGGTTATTGTGTATTGTAATGTAGGGTGAGGTCGTAGTAAGTTGTGTTATCTGTAGTTATTGTGTATTGTAATGTAGGGTGAGGTCGTAGTAAGTTGTGTTATCTGTAGTTATTGTGTATTGTAATGTCAGGAGAGGGCTTGATAAGTTGTGCTATCTATTGATATTGTGTATTGTAATGTCAGGAGAGGGCTTGGTAAGTTGTGCTATCTATGGTTATTGTGTATTGTAATGTCAGGAGAGGGCTTGATAAGTTGTGCTATCTATGGTTATTGTGTATTGTAATGTCAGGAGAGGGCTTGATAAGTTGTGCTATCTATGGTTATTGTGTATTGTAATGTCAGGAGAGGGCTTGGTAAGTTGTGCTATCTATGGTTATTGTGTATTGTAATGTCAGGAGAGGGCCTGATAAGTTGTGTTATCTGTAGTTATTGTGTAGTGTAATGTAGGGTGAGGTCGTAGTAAGTTGTGTTATCTGTAGTTCTTGTGTATTGTAATGTCAGGAGAGGGCTTGGTAAGTTGTGCTATCTATGGTTATTGTGTATTGTAATGTCAGGAGAGGGCTTGGTAAGTTGTGCTATCTATGGTTATTGTGTAGTGTAATGTCGGGAGATGGCCTAATAAGTGGCAAAAATTTGTGCAAAATCCCTTTGATGGAACACTATAGGAGGGGAGAAGATTAATAAAAGTGAGATGTACAAGGAGACTTCTGAAAAAAAAGGAGAGTAAAACAAGGTGTTTCATAAGTAAGTTGTAACCTATGTTGTGTTTTACTACACGATCTCAATCTATCATCGGTTTTTTACGTTTAGTCAAACCATACTATCGCATGAAGAGAAAAAAAGTTGCGAAAGCAACACTAGGGTGTTACTTTTCTGGCTATGAAAACAACAACATTTTACCGCGTTGAAGTTTTGCGTTATGTTTAAATGCTTTGCATAAAAAGCTGACGACCATTTACAGAAATCCTTTCTGATGTTTTGGTCCACTGACAAAGGGAAAAAGTATGCTTATTAACAAAGTCTGGCATTGTTTCTTTTGATTTTTTTTCTCGTTTGTTTGAGTTTTGGGGGAGGGGCAAAAGTAGGGGGGATGGTTGTTGCGATATGGTATCTTATACTAACTTATTTTTGTCCACAGATAACTGAACCCGAAGTTGTCCTTCCTGGAATTCCTTCTGATTGTATCATCGTTTACTTCGGCAATGTGCAAACAAGATCCTACAACACGCTTTTTCGAAAACCAAGTTAAAAAGAAAATGAATTCTTGTATTTCGTTTAAATCCTTACATCTTTATCATCAAATGAAAACAGGCAGGTAACTGAAGTGTAAATAGGGCGGTTTTCGTTTGAAATATTGCGTGTAGCAATTATTCATTTACATTTCGGTGAATCCGTCTACTTGCCTATCAGAAATTATTCTTCTTCTTATCAGGATCCTGTTGGTGTTATTGAATTTCGAATAAAGCTTAAGATTAATTCGGGGGCATGGTCAAATATTTTAACCTTATATGCTGTACAATCATATCAATGTTGTGTTTAAAACATAATGAACCTTTGATTTCACTTGTATCATGAGAAGTTCCACTGATAATAGAGGTCACGTATTCAAAACATCGCTTTGAATGGTAAACTGTTTACATTGTAAGATAACTCGTAATATATATAATATATACACGGACAGGTCAATACTATGAATACACTGGTCACTCAGCTGCTTTCTCTTCGGTGGACAAATTGAAGCGAAATGGATGTTAAGCATTTGATTAGCACTAAGGTAAGTTTATTTTCCTGTGATAATTCTCTTTTCAAAACAATCATAATAAGACTAAAGGTAATTGTCAGAAAGAAGATAATAAGAAGGAACAAATGATGTTTTCCATGAACATTTGAAAGCCATGCCACACAGGTACACTTTCTTTTTACAACATTGTATAATGTATTATTACACTTCAGTTTAAATCATGTTAACTGAATAACAAATGGTATTTACACAAACTTTACGCTTACATAAATTGATGATGTACTTTTAATCTACATTAATTTGATTTGTATTCCCATAAATTGTGTCGATGTATCACATTCTGTTAACCCCATCAGGTATGTTTCCTTCGAATGGGGTCAGGGTTTCCTCTTCCAACGGGGGAAACGGCGGTATGATGAGTTTTACTCGTACTTTTGTCTTTCTAACATATAGTTGAAGATGTCTCCATGTTTTTTGTCAATATTCAGGCATTTACCCAATGAAATTGCTCAACAGAAAAGATAACTTCCGGATATGCCAGATTTCAATACAGTTTTCTCGACCACGTGACTGTATATCGTGTTTTCTATCAATCGTGATTTTTTTTTACACCGCATATATACTCCAAAGAAAGTTTTAGGTCTCTGAAATAATACGTTTGATGCTAAACGGCGACACAATTGTTCATGTTATCAACTCATATCATTTTCTTGTTAAGAAACACAAACGTGTCTTGCTTTAAGCAACCTAACCTCCTAAAAGACGATTCACTTAATATCGCCATAATTTCAATACGCGTAGTGATTTCTAAACATGAATGATAAGCCGAGGAGAAACACAATTTCCAACATCGCATTTTAAAAGTATTGTGTCATTCACAATTAAACCAGAATTCTATTTAAAGTAACATTACAAAATGTAATGGAGAATGATTTCAACGTTTTGAGAAATACACTTTCAGTGTTCAGATTAGTTGTAATTAAAAGAAAACGCTATATATATTCACGTTGTTGACAAGGAAATTATAGAAATTTTACATATCCAGAAGTAATCACCTAATCTGTCAAGCAATTGCATTGGGTAAGTGACTTTTACTTTCTATCAAACTAGGAGAGCAGCAAACGTTTTGTAAGATAAAATGGCGAGATTAACTCACCGTGCCACCGTTTTCTCCTCCACGGAAAAGAAACCTCTGGTCCCGCTCGACGGGAACTCAACCTGAAGGGTTTAACAGGCCAAAATGTATCAGTGTGTTGTGATTTTCTTTCGGCCAATGGTTTCCTAATTTTTTTTATCTTTCAGACGAGTCTGGAATATGTTTTTCAAAATACCAACATCTCATTTTAAAGAGGCTTAGATGATAGAAAATTAAAAAAAACTACTGGCTACAATTTCATTTTTGTCTGAACTACAGTTGTTCGCATGTATTTTGTTTAGTCTAATGCACGGTGATTATTTTGTATTTTTTATTAATGAGATATATTGATATTTACATACAGTTGTATATTAGTGTACTGCTTTATGTTTATTTCAGTGGCACTGTAGTGCATATTACTATCATATATCTACATTGATATGAACTTATATATAATGTTAATTACAGTAATGGGTCGAATAATATTTAATGTCTTATGTTATTGGAAAAAAATCATGATTCCCTTACACACCAAATTTCCAAGCATTTACCAATTAAAACTCATTAATACAACTTTGATTAGCTTTGACTCTTATTTACAGGGAGGTCATATACTAGCATGCAGATTTGCTACTTGGAGGAAACTGCAATGCTGGATTATAATGCTAGTTCTTGCTGTCGGCTTCGTCGTCATTTCCTCACTTGTGCTAACAACCACAGACAAAAATCCATATACACAACTTCTATTTCCTGTTCAAAGGGATCTAAAATGTATTTGTCAAGAGAAAGAAGGCGGCCGACTTAAATATGTTATTCATGAAGATGATGCATGTAGTAAGGGGGGCGAGGAAGTGTTTTTATTTATTGCTGTTTCTGTCTCCTCGTCAGGCTTTAAACAACGATCCGTTATTCGGAATACTTGGGGATCTATAGTACATAATAACAATAAAGTTAAATTATTGTTTTTCTTGGGGAATCCGAATGATACGAAAATTCAGCGCGCCATTTTAAACGAAAGTGAACATTATCACGATATTGTACAAGACAATTTCATGGATTCATATAGAAATCTTACTTTGAAATCTATATTTATTTTGAAATGGACCAGTAAATTCTGTGTGAACACGAGCTATGTGTTGAAGGCAGACGATGATATGTTTATAAATGTACCGTATCTAATAAATTACTTAAACTCTACTGAAAAACGTAACGCAGTGATTGGTCAAAGAATCGCTTTGTCAAAACCCATCCGCAACAAAACATCGAAATGGTACACTTCGGAGAAGATGTATAGAGACAAATATTATCCATACTACACCAGTGGAACTAGTTACGTCATATCCGGTGATATTTTGACCAAACTGTACCAATCGACCTTCACTGAACCATTCTTTTGGCTCGAAGATGTTTACATCACTGGCCTATGTAGAAAAAGGATAAAAGCTGATATTATTGACAATTGGGATTTCTCCTGTCTATATCGTGCCCCTCGTGGATGTGTATATAAAAATGTAATATCTGGACATAAGAACTCCCCAGAGGAAATTACACAGATCTGGCTGGAGCTGAACAACCCATACTTAAATTGTAGTTCCTAGATGGTTTACACTGAGCCGTCCAAGATGGCAAGGGGTTAAAATGAAAAAAAAAGTCTATAAAAAAATATGGCGACTATTTGATTTTAAGAAAATGTTTTCAATTTAAGTTTGATAAAGACATTGTGATAAATGTGAATCTTTCATGGAAAATCCATTACTGAATCTATCAATAAAAGGTAATATTGAACAGTTATACAATATAATTATACCGTTTAACAGCTGATCGTACTTACCTCTGGCACCAGTTGCTCAAAGATTGGTAAGAGCTATTCCATGGTTTGTGAAAAAAATAAATATAAATTTAACAAACCTATCAATATTCCTTTATTATTAAATAAATGTCGATTTGTTTACACAGATAAGATTGCTATTATCATATGTCTAATTTCGCTTGAAAGCATTTAGTTTTTCATTGGCAACAATCAGAATGATAATGACATGACTAGTGAATAAAATCAGAGCGATCTCTGGTATTGGTAATACATGTGCAATATATCGTTTTCACATTTCACTTCTAGTGTTGTAAATATATAATTGTATGTGATATATAACTATCCCTCCATATCATTGACCTAAATGCAAAGATTGACACCTGCAAGAAATTTTATAGGAAAATAGACATTTCTTATTTAAATCGTGTAGTAAGTGTTCACATATACAAATTGCATCCTATATTAAATGTTTTCAGTTGTGCTACATTGTGTTATGTACCTCTTACAGACATTTAATGATTTTGTTACAGTTAACTATAAATCATACCTATGCTAATTACTTACCACTGCGTGGACTGATTTCTATAAAAGAGGTGCCATGACCAGGTTCTCCTAGGTCATGTTCGGCTAGAAATTTGTTAAGTATAAATTGTGAATCCCTTAATCATAGTCAATATATTTTGAAGTTGATTCATTGCTAATTTACTCTTCCGGAACACTAGGAGTATCTGTGTTAATCTTTCTTTTGTTCATATTCTGCCTAGTTTTATTGAATTTCACTTTTGGCTACTGGTACCGCGATGAAACAGCTATGGTTTGATCCATTGATACTTAGGAAACCACAATAATCGTGACCCTAACATATTAATTTACCTTATGTAAACAAATTCACACAGGTGCCTGACTTAAGAAGCATGAAAGGCTTGGCTAATTGGATAATTGAGTATGAGGAGATTGATGAAACCCGGCTTCGGCTGAACGCGTACTATTGCTCAGAAAACGATGTTGTTTTAACTGTCTGAAAAGTTTCAATCATACCTTGTCCCCATATCTGTACCTACCGCGGTATCCGAAGGTACTTAGTTATAGATTGTTTACACCGACTTCGACATGGGGAAACAGTGAACGCCATTGACTACGCCGAGAGACTTGAGTTTCGTGCCGCCGGTCGCCACTTCGACATTCCGGAGTGAAATATCAAGGCACGGAAGGGAACAAAAGACCTTCTAAAGTCCCAACCCACTGACCAGAAGGGCTGACATAGGTGCGACAGCGAAACACCCAGAGATGGAGAGAGAGCTGTTCATCTTTGTATGCGATCGCCGAGATGCCGGCATCGCTGCCAGTATAACAGAACTGCGCGTGCGGGCCATGCAGAACAAGAGAGGTCATGGAGTCACCAACTTTGGGCATCGGTGGGATGGGCTGTCCGATTCAGGAACAGAACGACAATCGAACAAAAACTTCCGTATTCATTGAATTCCACAGATACATCATCAAAATGAGGCAGAAATTCAGACACTACTATAGCCCCGACCAATAATAAGACCGTCATTATTTGAACGACGGGAAACGAAAAAAAAAAATTAGATTCACCGTAATGCTAGCATGAATGGCCGATGATTAAAACATTCGAAATTTATTTTAATTTACTTTGTTGTTGTTTTTATCTCCAAATTATCGTATAAGACCGACAATTTTTAAATATAACTATGTGAAGGGAGGTAATCCAATATGGCGGACGCAGAACTCGGGAATCATAACCCGAAAGAATGGCATGTTCCTGCGTATAATGCGCACCCCCTTTTTGACACGACAGTTTTAGCTTGAAAAAGTGCGCACTATACGCGAATATTTACGGTAATTATTTTACTTATTTTTTTAGCTATTCATTGTAAAGACTGCTTATTAATGAAATGATTGTGGCCTAAATTATCAGTTTTAAACTGTTGTACTGACAAGTTTTACTTGACCTTATCAAACAAAGAAACTATGCGAAATCAGTCATCTGATGTGAACTTTCCAAATACCCTCTCATTTGCAACATCAACTGAATTAATAAATGCAGTCGCCTCTTTGTGGACATGAAGTAGCATGCAGTTGTTCAGACGTTGTTTTGTTATTGTTGATCGCAGATAGGTTTTGATTCTGCGTAATGCTGATACTGACCGTTCATTCACAGCATTGGTTGCTGGTAAAGAATAACTTTATCTTTTTTGATTTCCTGACATGTAGGTATCCGTTTGTTGGTTTTTTTACATTTTAATCAGAAAGCTGTCTGTATATAGGTGTTGTTTATGTTGCTGCATAAGTATCAAAATGAAAACAAACATTCGAGTGAATGGATAGCTTTTAAACATGATATCACTAAAATGCACGTCAACGATTTGTTAAAACAAAGTATGCGTTAGTCATCACAGCAATTCAATATTAACCGTAGTAAAGATAAGTACATCCAGTACTACAATGTTATAAATTCTTTTGTTGGTGATTTAATGCTTGCGAAATTACAATATTCAAAAGAACGTTCAACGTAAAGTATCATGTGCTGTCTCATGAAAGGAGGACAACTCAAATCCATGTGAGCATCCAACTTTGAAAAAAAAGTTAATAAGATCAACACACAGAAGCTCAGTAACGGGAAGTTAATGACCCAGGCTAAAATGATTACATTATTTATATATTACACGTGTACACCTTATTATAATGTCTTATCAAATAACTTTGATCTGTATTTGGATAATTTATTGTTAAACTGATACACATGAAATACTGCTGAAATTACAAATAAAATGGTTTAAAAAATGCATTGACTTGAGAGAGAATTTTAAAAATGTGACTTTCTGAACTAATTACTATGATTAGATATGAATTAGATACTTTCTTATGCTCTCTTCCCACGTAAGCTATAAATAATCATAAAAAGAAACAACTCCTTACAGCTTACGACAAGTTCTCCGAAGAGCACACAGCGATGAATGTACTTCTGTGGTTAACAACAAATTCACTTCATTTGATATTTAATTCTTAACACTTAAAAGCTAGTTTTAAAATCACAGATAATTAACAATGCTTTTCTCTCAACTTTCATTGTTTAACCCCTTAACTCCCAACTACGCATTTCTACGCATTGTGATGTTGGTGTTGGGAAAACAGTCATATATCCCTTATTTGTAGAGGTATTGATCTACTGATTATATATATATATCATGAAATTGAAGCAAATGTTGAACAACTTTTGTTCTTAGTAAATTTTGCCTTGAAAGATATTTCTTGCGTTTTTTCTAGTTGAATATACAAGGCATTGCTTTCCAGAATATTTTGGATTGATGATGTCGTGTGTACGGTGTACTTAAATGTATATTGGTGGGTCCAGGTTGTATTCTACATATATGTTCATAAAGAACGAGATATTTCACTCGAATTTCAATATATGGAAACCTAATATCCAAAATCGTATGCATATTCCATCACATTCACATAATTCGCTGCAGATAATTTGATTTGACAAATAAAATGTATCCGATACTATCCAAACAACCTCGTGTCAGCCTATACTACACACATTCGCGGAATTCTATCACCATTTGAAGACAGACTGAAAATTGCGAATTCTCAATATTTGCAAATGATGGAGTCATTGGGGTAAACCTGTCCACCGAAAAGAAATTAACAGGGCGTTCATCTTGCCACCATATCATAGCATAGGTGAGTATTAAATTGAAAAGGCTAGTTATTGTTTTCTGGTATGTCCAAAGTGATCAATTTAGATTTAGAGGAGCGAGCACATGTTTTACGTGACCTGACTTATTTTGTGATAAGCCCGGTGTTATTACATGTAGCTATATACATCTGTATGTGACTCATCACTGGCGAAGTACATGCGTTTTTCTCCGTCTATGTGTTTCCACTGTCAAATCTACTGCAGTTTTCTACCTGATTATGACTTATTACATATCAGTTGTCTGAGGACACTGCATATTTGTCAGCAACTTTTTCCCTCTGATTAACTTCTTTTTATCATTTTTGTCGTAAGGTAAGTTAATGAAAAATGTGGATTCTGGTTAAGTTGTATTAGATTATGAGGAACCAAATTAGTGATACCACAGCCTACGATGGTCGAAAACCATTCACTAGACCATCTCATTGTACATGTACATATCCTGAACAAACAATTTCGAAGAAGACAAAAATGATAATACAGAAGTTATATCTTTGAAGTAACATGTGTATTGAAAAGTAATTGTTTTATTGTAATTTTTTCACTGTTTCAGGTTGAGTCTGTGAGCCTTACACATTATATTTTGAATGTCAAGATCCAACAACCCCTATAATCTGGAAACCTTTCTAATTAGGAAAGTAGTTTGATAAATGTAGTACTACGATAACAGTTATACTCTCAATCCTTACTTACTTCAACTGCATTAAAGTGTTGTTTTGTGTTATGTACACATGTAAAATTTGAATTGTCTGAATTGATACCATATAGGAACTGACTAATTATACATTTGATGATTTTGATAGCTATATTCCTAAATAATTTCTGTCAACAAATTTGTTAGCACATGCATTATTGATATGATACAGCTTGTGAAATGGACATTGCATTTCTATTTTATTCAACCCTTAAACCGTTTTGTGATGAAGTATTGATTGAAATGTTCATAAGTGTTCAAAATGATACTTATATTAACATTTTTTTCTAAATGCTAACTTCAGGTATCATAACAGGACTGCTGTTGCATAGACAGAGTGTGATGGAACTGGAACATTCAAGTCAAGCAAGCATATTCTTCACTTATTTTTGACTTCACCATTTATTTGTAAGAAAGATTATGCAAAATTAAAATGATTTCAACTTCATTATTTGTTGTTGTTTGTAACTTCTTGTAAGTGCTGCAACTAAAACTTGGTACAGGTAACTGGTCTTGAAAACACCATCACGGTTTAAGCAATAATATTATTACTCTGAAAGTCAAAATGTTTTGTTAGTAACATAGATATATATTTCCATTTTGATAAGACACTTACTAGAGTAAGTAGAGTATTGATGCGTCTAATTTGGATTAATACATTAATCTCTGTTGTTATATCAATCTCTGTTGTTATATTAAGCTGTGTTGATATATTCAGCAGTGTTGTTATAATAAGTTGTGTTGATATATTAAGCTCTCTTGTTTTTAATAGCTTTGTTGTTATATTAAGCTCCGTTGTTATAATAAGCTTTGCTGATATACTAAGCTGTGTTGTTATAATAAGCTCTGTTAATATATTAAGCTCCGTTGTTATAATAAGCGTTGTTGATATATTAAGCTGTGTTGTTTCTACCAAGTGTTTTTTTTTAAACTAGAGTCCATTAAAGGACCGTCCTATTAAAGTATTGATTCCAATATACTCTTTACAGAATAAACGTAATCGGCCGACCTCAAGTAACTCATACATGTGTACTTTATCCTATATGTAGGTTGAAATGTGTCATTCAGAGTATTGCTTTGTCACGGTTGTCTTTAACTGAGCCCTTATGATACAATGCAGTAAGCTGTCACGCTCATTCGTGTTTTAAAAACTCCAGATGTGTCTGAAACAAGTTTTGAATGTTGCTCGCACCGTACTTGTCAGATTTCGTAAGTTCACAGACTTTATGTTTCAGTGTTTATCATATACATCTATGGCAGAGTGTTCAACAGAACACAGAATGGGTTTGTGATGACAGGTGTTGTAACTTCAAATCTTCCTCCATGTCGTGTTAAGCTGAAATTGTGTATCGGGACGTGGTAGGTATGTTGGCTTTCTGAGATAGTATTATGGAATACTTGCAATTTCTTCGTTTATGTTAGAAATGCTTTTTATTGAAAATATTTCTACACCCAAAACAATGTAAATGAGGTGATGGCTTTATTACAGTGTCATTACCTGCTGACAGGATGATGATGCAGGTATGAAAGGTTTTGGTGAGTTTTTTGTAAATAAAAACTGCGCCATGTGTTGATGTGATAGATAGTAATTAAGCCACGTACAGAAATCTGATATTTTTTCATTGAAGTTTAACAAGTATCAAATTTAGAAATTGATAATTGTAGAGTTCTATGGACTATATTGTTAGCCCTATTTTAAACAAAAACTTATCACTACCGTTTACGTCACACAATTGAAGAAAGTTTCCTTGATCAATTCGCAGTTGGGTTGACATTAAAACAGCTGGCATGAATAATCAATTACATTATCATTAATTTGCCTAGAGCCTTTAGGTATAAGTAAATGATCAGTACCAGGTCCTGTCCTGATGAATTTGCTACAGTTATTTAAGTGAAAATCCATGATGCTCGCCACAACCTCCATCTTGAGTTTTCTATTTTGAATTGATAACCCAAATGCTGTTCAAATGATATTGATAAAACTTTGGATGCTTGGTCAGTAGCTTATTCTGGATGAACGTTGCTAATTTTATGTTCAAATCCAGAATATGGC